GGTAGGTGAAGTAAGGCGAGGGTAGGCAAGGTGAAGTGAGGGTAGATAAGATAAGGGTAAGTGGGGTAAGGTGAGGGTAGTTAAGGTGAGGTAAGGTGAGGTAGCGGGGGTTGCGTAGTTCACCTGCGTCACCTCACTGTTGGCAGCTGCCGGCTTCCTCACCAGGTGTGTGTACCGCTCACTACCTCCTCCCCTCCACCTCCTCCCTCACATAAATATCGACCCATTTCCTCTCCATATGGTGTATATTTATCGCCAGACACGGTACTTCCAACCCTCCAGCCAGGCGATCGTTCGTCTGTCTCGTGTCGGAGAGACTTGTGCCCGTGCTGGCATTATTCGCCTTGGGGTTGAGTTGTCCTGGCGAGTTGTTGAGCAACCCTGCAGTGGGGGTGATCGCGCCGGCCCTCGCTAGATGTCAGGGCGGGTGTGTGCGCGCGCAGATCGAACTGGGTCCGAGAGCGCAAGGGGGTCGTGGGCGCCCTGCCTCCCAGTCGATAGTGAGCCCAGGGCCGGAAGGGACGCTGGTGGCCGCGTGTGTGTGTGTGTCAGACGGTGCTAGAAGGATAGTCTCGTTAAGGGGTACTGACTCCGTACCTGCGGCGCCTCCCTCAGTGCGAGCAAGCGAGCAAGTGGATGCTTCCTGTGGTGTTTGTGGCTGTGGTGGTGGTCGTGGGCCCAGATCCCGGCGGGGAGGTGTTGGCTGCTGTGCCGGGGCTGCTGCGGTAGCCACACAATAGAAAAAAAAAAGATTGTGCCATAACTATTGTTAGAACCCCAGAGTGGCGCTACACGGGCCAGGGACCGACCCGGGGGTTTACTGCTGCCATCATGGTGGTGGATGGCGGCGAGCGGTGATGATGCTCGCTACCTCTAATGATTCCTCCAGTGGCAGGCGTGTGGCTCACCCCCCGGGGAACAGCAGCAGCAGCAGCAGCACCAGCAGCAGCACCAGCAGCAGCATCAACAGCAGCAGCAGTAGACGATACAAGATCAGTAGCCAGTATGTGGTCCACAGCCGTGTTCCTGGTCACCCCCCGCAGCCAGCCTCCTGCAGTGGTCGCGGCCTGCCTTCTCCTGGCGCTGCTGCTGCTGCCATCCTCGGCCGCAGCCACCGCCTCCTCCTCTTCTTCTTCCTCGTCAGCATCTTCCTCCTCCTCCTCCTCTTCAGGGTTTAGTGGATCTCCTCGAGGTAAGACAAAATCGCATCACCGTCAGGTCCCTCAGCATGTTAAGTTAAGGCTCTCTCTCTGGGAACAGAACAGATCGTCATTATTATAGGGTAATGGAGGATGATGGGGTGAGGAACCAGGAGGAAACCAGCTGTGAGGAGGGTAAATGACGAGAGAAGCCAGCGAGGTCGCCTTCCAACACACCTCAAGTTCTCTGAAATTCAACCAACAAGGTCCTTCTGCTGCTCCTCTTCCTACCCTCCTCGGTATAATTGACCCTACCTGATCTGAAACGGAATATATTTATCACTGCGTCCTCATCCCTGAATGCAATTTGATGCGCAACGTATCCATCTCCCTCCTTTCCTCCCTCCTTCCCCACCCTCCCCAATTCTCCTCCTCACTCTCCCCCAAAACCCCCAAAACCCCCATAACCAATCCTCCATCTCCTCCTCGTCGTCCTCCTCCATATTGCGTGCGCACCCCACACATGTAAAACTCCTCGCAACTCGCACGCACACGCAAGGGGACAAACGCACTTTGAGCTACAACATCGAGGTCGTAATATCTGCCATAATTTACGACCGTTGCATCCTGGACACGTTCTCATGGCGGCCTCTCTCGTTCACGTTCTCATGGCGGCCTCTCTCGTTCACCTTCTCATGGCGGCCTCGTTCACCTTCTCATGGCGGCCTCTATCGTTCACCTTCTCATGGCGGGCTCTCGTTCTTATGGTGGCCTCTCGTTCTCGCTTTCATGGCAGCCTCTCTCGTTCTCGCTCTCATGGCAGCCTCTCTCGTTCTCGCTCTCATGGCAGCCTCTCTCGTTCACCTTCTCATGGCGGCCTTCCGTTCTCGTTTTCATGGCTGCCTCTCGTTCTTGTTCTCATGACGGCCTCTAGTTCACGTTCTCATGATAGCCTCTCTCGTTCACGCTTTCATGGTAGCCTCTCTCGTTCACGTTCTCGTGATAGCCTCTCTCGTTCACGTTCTCATGATAGCCTCTCGTTCACGGTCTCATGGTAGCCTCTCCGCTCACGGTCTCATGATAGCCTCTCTCGTTCACGTTTTCATGGTATAGCCTCTCGTTCACGTTCTCATGGTGGCCTCCCTCGTTCACGTTCTCATGGTAGCCTCTCTCGTTCACGTTCTCATGGTAGCCTATCTCGTTCACTTTCACGTTCTGGCGGTTTCTCGTTTTCAAGTCGGTTTCTCGTTCACGTTCTCATGGCAGCCTCTCATTCTCGTTCTCATGGCTCTCTCGTTCACGTTCTTACGACGGCCTCTCGTTCACGTTCTCATGGTAGTCTCTCGTCCACGTTCTCATGGCGGCCTCTCGTTCACGTTCTCATGGTGGCCTCTCGTTCACGTTCTGGCGGTTTCTCGTTCTCAAGACTAATACGAAAAGTGGAGGCTCATGGCATTGGAGGAGATATTCTAAAATGGATTAGGGCGTGGTTACTGGACAGGAAACAGCGAGTAAGCATTAACGGCAGTAAATGTAGTGGAGTACCCCAAGGTTCAGTACTTGGACCATTATTATTTATTATATACATAAACGACATAGTTAGAGGCGTAGACAGCAACATAAGTAAAGTTGTTGACGACACTAAAATAGGACGTATAACTAAATCTGACGAGGACTCCGCAAAACTACAGGAAGACATAAAAAAAAATATTCGAATGGTCTGAAAAATGGCAGATGAAATTTAATGTGGTCACATGTAAAGTACTTAGTCTTGGAGATGTAAACAGAGAAACCAGATATCAGATGAACAGCGATGTTATAGAGAAATCCGACTGTGAGAAAGATTTAGGAGTAATGATAAGTAGGAATCTTAAACCAAGTAAACAATGTGTATTTGCTCGAAACAAGGCTTATAGAGTACTTGGGTTCATACAAAGGAGTGTTAGTTACATGACTAGCGAGGTCATCTCAAAACTATATCTTGCGCTTGTGAGACCTCACTTGGATTACGCAGTTCAGTTCTGGTCACCGTACTACAGAATGGATATTGAATCCCGAGAAAGAATTCAGAGGAGAATGACAGGACTAATCCCGGGCATTAGGAACCTTGAGTACAGAGACGGGTTAAGGCATCTTAATTTGCACTCCCTCGAGAGACGTAGAGTGAGGGGCGATATGATCGAGGTGTATTAATGGAAGTCAGAGTTAAACAAAGGCGATACAACAAAGGTACTCAAACTATCCAACCAGGAGCGAACTCTCATGGCGTCTCTTTCGTTTTCGTTGTCATGGCGACATCTCGCTTACGTTCATGTTCTCATGGCGGTTTCACATTCTCGTGGCGACCTCTTGTTCATGTTCTTATGGCGCTCTCTCGCTCTCGTTCTCATGGCGCTCTCTCGTTCTCGTTCTCATGGCTACTTGTCTCTCTCCTTTCCCTCTTTTCTTCTATCTTCCTCTCCCTTCTCCTCCCATTTCCCTTCTCCTCCCTTCACCCATCTCCTCCCATCTACCTTCTCCTTCCTTCTCTCACCTCCCTTTTCCTCCCATCTCCCTTCTCTTTCCACCTCCCTTCATTCACCCTGTAAATCGCCATATGCTTTGTAAGTTCCCTTCATAACTTTGTAAGTGAATATAAACCACCTCGTAAATAAAAGCTCTTGGTATACTGCAAATTTGCTTGTAAATTGTAAAAAAAAAATCTCATTGGGCAAAATTTCGCGAGGAAAAATATAATCATTGTAAATAAAAGCCTTCCCAATTTTAGTCAATAGTTGAAATAAGGTAAAATAATAGGTGTGATTATCTTTTGTCTTGAAACCGACTGTAATTGTTTATTTGTAAAGTAATACAAATCTGGACTAGTTGGAATTGGGAGAAAATCTCGCTATTTTTGTGTTTTTGTGATGGGGATTTAATATAATCACTTTGTTTTGTAAATTGGTAGAAAGAATAAGCTATTGTTTTTATTTAATTGGGTATTTTGTCTCTAATTGGGATGACTGTGTATTAGGGCTCAACACTACTTAATACGTCCCCAGCCAAACCTATTTAATTGGTTCGTTCCTATTAGTTCGAATAGACCCCCCCAGCCAAACCTGTTTAATTGGCTCGCTCCTATTGGTCAGAATAGGCCCCCAGCCAAACCCATTTAATTGGCTCGCTCCTATTGGTCAGATTAGAGCCTATTTAACGTATGTACCATTTTCAAATTGTACTAAATTGAAGGTATCTAGTTAAGGTAGAGTCTCAGTGTTAAGTGAAGGTATCTAGTTAAGGTAGACTCTCAGTGTTAAGTGAAGATATCTAGTTAAGGTAGAGTCTCAGTGTTAAGTGAATGTATCTAGTTAAGGTAGACTCTCAGTGTTAAGTGAAGGTATTTAGTTAAGGTAGAGTCTCAGTGTTAGTGAAGGTATCTAATTAAGGTAGTCTCAGTGTGAAGTGAAGGTATCTAGTTAAGGTAGAGTCTCAGTGTTAAGTGAATGTATCTAGTTAAGGTAGACTCTCAGTGTTAATTGAAGGTATTTAGTTAAGGTAGAGTCTCAGTGTTAGTGAAGGTATCTAATTAAGGTAGAGTCTCAGTGTGAAGTGAAGGTATCTAGTTAAGGTAGACTCTCAGTGTTAAGTGAAGGTATCTAGTTAAGGTAGAGTCTCAGTGTGAAGTGAAGGTATCTAGTTAAGGTAGAGTCTCAGTGTGAAGTGAAGGTATCTAGTTAAGGTAGACTCTCAGTGTTAAGTGAAGGTATCTAGTTAAGGTAGAGTCTCAGTGTGAAGTGAAGGTATCTAGTTAAGGTAGAGTCTCAGTATTAAGTGAAGATATCTAGTTAAGGTGGAGTCTCAGTGTTAAGTGAAGGTATCTAGTTAAGGTGGGGTCTTAGTGTTAATTTTGTCTCCTAACTGGTGCTAAGTGAAGGTAACTAGTTAAGGTAGAGTCTCAGTATTAAGTGAAGGTATCTAGTTTAGGTAGAGTCTTAGTGTTAAGTGAAGATATCTAGTTAAAGTAGAGTCTCAGTCTTAGTGAAGGTATCTAGTTAAGGTAGAGTCTCAGTGTGAAGTGAAGGTATCTAGTTAAGGTAGAGTCTCAGTGTTAAGTGAAGGTATCTAGTTAAGGTAGAGTCTCAGTGTTAAGAGAAGGTATCTAGTTAGGGTAGAGTCTCATTGTTAAGTGAAGGTATCTAGTGAAGGTAGAGTCTCAGTGTTAAGTGAAGGTATCTAGTTAGGGTAGAGTCTCTGTGTTAAGTGAAGGTATCTAGTTAAGGTAGAGTCTCAGTGTTAAGTGAAGATATCTAGTTAAGGTAGAGTCTCAGTGTTAAGTGAATGTATCTAGTTAAGGTAGACTCTCAGTGTTAAGTGAAGGTATTTAGTTAAGGTAGAGTCTCAGTGTTAAGTGAAGGTATCTAGTTAAGGTAGAGTCTCAGTGTTAAGTGAAGGTATCTAGTTAAGGTAGACTCTCAGTGTTAAGTGAAGATATCTAGTTAAGGTAGAGTCTCAGTGTTAAGTGAAGGTATCTAGTTAAGGTAGACTCTCAGTGTTAAGTGAAGGTATTTAGTTAAGGTAGACTCTCAGTGTTAAGTGAAGGTATTTAGTTAAGGTAGACTCTCAGTGTGAAGTGAAGGTATCTAGTTAAGGTAGAGTCTCAGTGTGAAGTGAAGGTATCTAGTTAAGGTGGGGTCTTAGTGTTAATTTTGTCTCCTAACTGGTGCTAAGTGAAGGTAACTAGTTAAGGTAGAGTCTCAGTATTAAGTGAAGGTATCTAGTTTAGGTAAAGTCTTAGTGTTAAGTGAAGATATCTAGTTAAAGTAGAGTCTCAGTCTTAGTGAAGGTATCTAGTTAAGGTAGAGTCTCAGTATTAAGTGAAGGTATCTAGTTTAGGTAGAGTCTTAGTGTTAAGTGAAGATATCTAGTTAAAGTAGAGTCTCAGTCTTAGTGAAGGTAGAGTCTCAGTGTTAAGCGAATGTATCTAGTTAAGGTAGACTCTCAGTGTTAAGTGAAGGTATTTAGTTAAGGTAGAGTCTCAGTGTTAGTGAAGGTATCTAATTAAGGTAGAGTCTCA